AGTGCAGTCTCGCGCGCCGCCACGCATGGTGGTTTGGCTGGGCTTTCGTCCTTGCTGCGTGAGCTCGGGCGTGATCATCCGAAGGATCATTGGGCGACGGCGGCCGGGCTTCTTCAAGAGGTCCAGAAGAAAGATGAAGTTGCCGAGATGGTTGATCGCGTGCATGCAGTTTGGCAGCAAAAGTTTGCTCCCAGTCGCTTCGTTGCGACGGCCCGAAATTAACGAGGCACTTGTGAAGCTGGCCAATGCCAGCCGCGAGGAGGAAGCGCATCGTCTCCGAGCTGTACTTTGTCGCGGAGCTCTGGTTGACGCTACAGAATTTGGGCCGCGACATCGAGGTTGCGGAAGAAAAGAGCCAACTGGAGCGAGTCGCGCGAGATATCGGTCGTGCATTTGGCCAAGAGGGAATGTACCGTGTCCCACGCCTCGTTAAAGACCGGCTCCCCGAGAGCCTTGCGGTGACCCGCGTCCGAGTGCTGATAGAGGACTCGACAAGCGGCATGTTGTTGGCGGCGCATGCTCTCACCATCCAGTGTCGTCCAAATGGAGGGCCTCAGGCGACGAGGAACTGGATGACACGAAGTGCCACGGGTTTGTAAGAGGGGGAAATTATTTTTGCTCGTGGTCTGTACGTTTGCTCGTGGTTTGCATATATTACTTCTACGAACCAAGTGCCCTGTAGGGACGAGATTCGGATGCAGCGTACCCGCGCGAGTCGCAATGTTGATGCGTCGATGGAGCTCGGGCACGGTCACTCGCGCATCTACACTATACCAATGCGCTCTCTCACGAGGCCACGACCTTCCTTGCAGAGGCACAGACGACCCTCAGAGTCCGTCCAACCTTGTGCGTCTTAAAGAATCTACACGGCAGCATCTATGGGGGCGTTAAACAGCAATGATAAACATAACTGGAAGGCGTATGAAGGCCGTCAGTGTTAGTGCTGTAGGAATTACCGGTATCCTGCACCGCACAGTTACTAGTACACTGATACCGTTGAGCGGTGCACCCCACACCGGGTCATGTCATGGGGTCATGTACCGGTATGTTGAACCTATGACGTGGCGCTCCACGGCACAAGGACTGACCATCTCCGCCAGCCATCTGTTTTACCTCGCAAGCCCGACGCGCCTACTAGTACAGTGTACAGTGTCACGACGATGCGGCCGGACTCCCAATGCCGGACTCCGGTCATATCAGCTACCGGTACTCGCAACGACAGGTGCAATTGTAGCGCAAGGCCCAGTGCTCACGCTCGTCCCTACGCAGCTGGTAATAGCTTCCTCCCGCTCTGAGTCCACGTCGACCTGAAACGGACACCCATACATAGTCGGGACGTTCTTGGAGTGCTCGCTCCACCACGCAATTGGAGCTCACTGCCTGCAAAGCGGGTGTCACTGGCTGCGACGATTTGTCCAGCTATCCGGTTTCTCCCCTGACGACCCCATCCGGTATTAACCGGATTGTCATCCGGTCTCGGTCACACGCGCACGCGTAGTATTGCCACGCTGTCCACCAGTAAAGTGGTAAATATAGACCGCAAGACACGCAGTCTTGTTGTTCTTCGTCGCCACTCAGAGCGTACATCGTACGTACACCTCGCGTATCGAATTCTTGTGATCGACTGCAGCAGGATGGCCGACGACGAGAAGGAAGCCCGCTTCCTGCGCTGGCTCACGGAGCGTGGCGCCAAGATTGACGCGCTCGCGATCACGCGCGACCTTGACGGCGGTCGTGGCGTCGTCGCGACGCGGGACCTTGCGCCCAATGAAGTCGCCATGTCGATCCCGGAGGCGCTCATGATCTCGGAGGCATCCGTGAAGCTTGACCCGGACCTTGGCCCGATCTTTGCTCGACATTCCGACCTCTTTGCCCGCGACGATCCGCTCTTGGCGACGTTTGTGGCGCACCACATGCACCTGGGCCATCACTCGTTCTACTACCCGTACCTCTCGACGCTGCCTGCGCCCGAGTCGATTCAAAACTGGACCATCGACGAGCTCGCGTCCTTGCAAGACCCGTATTCTGCTCCAATTCTTATTGTAGAAATGATTTCTTATTGGTTATCGTCACTAGGCGCCTCGTGGAGATAGCCAACCAGCGCAACGCCGAGATCGTCACGTGGTACGAGCGCCTCACCGACTGCCTCTTCCGCCTCTACCCGGTAAAACATACCTCCATTTTCGATCCTCTGTCTAACTATTTGCCTGTAGGAGCTCTTTAACGCGACAAGTTTTTCATTCGAAACCTTTCGTTTTGCGTGGCAGACGATCCAAGCTCGCACGTTTGGTACCGGTATTTGACATTCCTCTGGCAGTCATTCCAAATGCGACAGTGTAGGCCGGTGCCTGCCGTGGTCGTCGCTTGTGCCCTTTGCCGACATGCTCAACCACAACAACCACGCCACCATGTATGCGTACGAGAACAAGACGTTCGAGTGGCACTCGTCCGTCGGATACAAGCGCGGCGACCAAGTCTTCAACCGATACGGCCGGCGCCCCAACCGTACAACATCGATGCTATCTCGTACACATTTCATCGCTTGCACTAGACCAACTGTTGCTCCACTACGGGTTTGCGCTGCGTGAAAATGCTGTGGACTATATCGATATGGACTTTCACCTCGCGGCGTCGTACCCGAGTGCCTTGTCCAAGACGGAGCGCCGCGCGGTCCTCAGCAAGGCGCACCTTATGCCGTTCAAGACCAACTTCCGTCTTACGCACGACACGTCCGTTGCGTCACTGCTACCGTACTTTTGCTGCCATTTCTTGACGGCGTACTGCGAGGACGTTGATGTCTCGTGCCCGATATCGGACGTCCGCGTCGAAACAAGAGCCATTATGGTCCTTATCGAGGTGCTGGAGGAGCTTGCTGCTGCGTATCCCACCACGCTCGAAGAAGACGCTGCCTTGCTCCAAACCAACGACCTCCCCGACCGCCTCTTGGTGGCGCTCACGTTTCGAATGGGCCGGAAGCAGCTGCTATCGAATATCATTACCGCGGCGTCAGCTATGCTGCAGACATTAACAACGAATAAATGAAAAGGGGAAAGAATTCAAAGATTTGGACGATTGGCTCCGCTCAGTGGGTTCCACTACGATAGCATCGACGTTCTTATCTTCGGCGGCTTGCCCTCGGTCGCGAGTAGGCGCGTGAGCAGCGCCTGGAGCTCAGCGTCCGAGACCAACCCTTCCTTGCTCTGGACTTACTCAGCGATGACCATCGCGTCGGGTGCGTGGAGATGACAAATGGCCTGAGCCAACGCCAAGACAAGCACGTTGCTAGATTGCAGCAGCGCTGCCGCAAGACCCGCCACGCGCGATGTCAGCAGAATCGTTTGGTTTACCTTGATTCCTTGCTACACGAGTTCGGGCGTGATCACCCGAAGGAGCGTTCCGCGGTGGCAGTTCAGCAGCGCGACGAGGTCAAGAAGAAAGATATTGTTGCTGAAGTGGGGGTCTATTATTAAAATAGTTATTTCTACGCTGAGTGAACGAAGAAAGATGATGTTGTCGACATGGTTCATTGCGTCCATACAGTACGGCAGAAGGAGCTTGCTCGTCGGCACATGGTCTCGACGACCCGCAATCTCGACGAGGCAGTCGCGAGGCTGGCCAATGCCAGCCGCGAGGAGGAAGCGCATTGCCTCCACGTTCTGGTTGGTTACAGCCTCTTGGAGCCATTCGTCGTCGCGGAGGTCTGGTCGACGTCGCAGGATTTGGGTCGCGACGTCAAAGTGGCACCCGTCGAGTGAGATCTCGGCCGTGCAGCTCGGCCGTGCAGTTGGCCAAGAGGATGCGCACCACGTCCCACGCCTTGCGCCTGATTGCCTCGTCAAGCACGTCCGGGTCGTCGCAAGCGTCCAAGTGCCCGCGGAAGAACGTTGTTGGCCGCACACGCTTCCTCGATCCACTCGCAAACCACCGAGCAGCCATGTGCAGAGGCAGGCGGTCGTCGTATTGGCCGTCCCGTCGAAGATACGGCGAGGACGGAAGCGCGCAAAGCTCGTCGGGACACTTGGCGTCGGGCGCGAACGCCTGGCAGAACGACGAGTCGTACGCGTAGCCTCCCGAGGCGTCAACCTCGACAAGGTCTCAGCAGGCGGCAATGGCATGGTGCATGTCTTCGAGGACGCCATCATGGCAGCCAAAGATCATCGCCGCAATGTCCGGCTCAAGAACAACGCTGCAGAAGGCGGTTTGTTCCAGTGGGTTTGTTCCACGCCTTGGCTCGTGCTGGCAAATTAGAGAATGGCCGACTTGTGAAGTGCCCACCGCCGCCACCGGATATGACAGCCTTTATTCGTTTAATCAAGTACACTGTACAAAACTGGGTGGCGTCCCCGATGCCCTCATCAATCAAACGGCTTACTACAGTAGTACTTTCCCTCCATCGACCTGTACTTCAAGGTCCAGGCGTATCAATGCCTTATGCTATTAATGCCTCTCCGACTCGGTCTTGGAGCACTCCGTACACTTGTACGTACCTCCCAGCACAACTTCCCAGCTTGTCGCACCAGAGCAAGGGGCGGGTAATGTCATACTCATAACGTTAGTATTTCCTTCCACCAGGGATTGATAGGGCAGTGAAATGATGTACTTGAAGAAGCGAGTAAATTTGGGCTTTTGCGGTACTTGTACAGTGTGAATATATTTCCGAACCTCGTAAGCTTTTGCCGAGCTTGGAGCGACGGCCAGCTGCCACCTTCGTCGACCTGCGGGCGATCTGATCGCTTGTTCGAGAAATCAACTGCAACACGCCAGAACTCGGCCGTTCATCTTGAAGTTTTGGCTCCTTGCTGACACCAATCGCACAAGCTGGCGCAAATGTGACAATGTGACACACCTATATCCGGATACGCCATCACCGTCATTTCGGAATCTTGTCGAGGATGGAGATTCGCCGGCGCGTGGCGGACGGGCCGAGTACGCATGTCATGGCGATGGACGATGGAAGCTCATGCTGCGCCTGCGTCATGTAGGAGAGATGACCCCGCGGGCCCGGCGAGACAGCGCGCCTCGGAGCCGGTCGGGCTCACTACGCCACCAGGAACCAGGAGGCCGGCCCGCTGCAGTCGCGCAACAACGAAAGGACCCGGCTCCTCGCCACGAGCAACGAGCGCTGCGATATGTGCAACGGCCTCTGGACAGATACCGTGGTCTTGGGCGTCGCATCCTCCTCCCACACGCCCGTAGATGAGAGCTCGTCGTCCCGGTTCCATCCCAGCGGGATACTCTTTGCGGCGCGCTTCATCTCGAGCCACCCGATGATCCAGACGCGCGACGACTATCTCACGTCCCGAATGGATATCAACCAGTCGGGCGTCTCCAAGATCACGACCAAGGAAGCGGTCCACCTCACACGCCACCCGGACCCATATACTCATCTCGCCTTGCTCCCGTACGTGGACTCAATGCTCGAGGATCATCTCACCAGTCGACATCATGCTAGGTGGAACGAGCCGGTGCAGACCAAAGCGGCGGCAAGAAACCGACGTGGTGCCAAGACCACGCGAACGAGATGCAGCGCACGAGCTCGAACAGACCGGTCCCGACGCTTAAAGCCCAGCTCTGGCGCGAGAGCTACCTGGACGGCGACTCCATTGCGATCTGCCTCCTCGCTGCCCTCTTGCAGCACCGCAACGTCCACTTTTCGCGCTGGTTTACACAGCCAAAGGCGCGCCGCCATTCCAAGCGCGCATCTCGCTTGGCGTGGTGTTTGAGCCACAGACAACACCCTCGCTGTCGTCATCCCCACGTACGATTATATACACATATATGAACGTGTTTCGAGTTATCTTCATAATTACAATTACACAAAGACCTTGCATATGTAGAGACTAGCAATCTCCTTCTTCTTCATTCGCTTGCCGGGCCGCGGCTGCGCAGGCGGCGGCGCGGATATATTCAAAAAGGTACAGAGGTCGCACGATCCTATGAAGAGGTTTGTTGGCCCACGAGCGCCGATCGACGTCCAGCAGACACCGCATGCTCGAACTGCCATCGACGACGACTGCGCAAACCTTTGGGAAGCTCGACTCAGACCACGGATCCGATCTTTAACCACCAGATGTTGAGCTCGAGATGTGTTGTGTGGCTACTACGCTCTGTGGCGAGATGTTGAACATGAAATGCGATAGCGAAATTTGGTGCTCGAGGTGGAATCATTGCGAGCGAGAGCCCGAGAGTAGATTGACCACCTGCACAAGAGTCCCATGGAAATGCGTCGGGACAAAGCGCTTGGGCACCGTGGCTGTGGCGGCGTCGTCTCATTTCGCGGACGCTCGGTCGCAAGAATCCCTGAGCGAGATGGACCGTCCAGTTTGAAGGTTCTAGCTCAACGTGACAAACAAAGGAGGCTACTTCTACCACCCAGCTCGACCACCCCGTGTACAAGCGAATCGCTTGTCAGCTGCCCACGCGGTGCACCGGATTGTATTTTGGTTGTGTGGATGCGCGTGCGTTGCAAAACAAACCAGATGGGATGGCCTCCAGCCTGCCACGTCATGACCCTACTCATGAGGAGCACGACATACCACACAAGGCGAAAGAACTTGCCCGCCCGCCGGTGTGCAGCTCTGCCCGATGACGCTGTGCTGATCGCTCCAAGCACAAGCGTCGATGGCGGCGCATCATAGAGCGAAACGCGATGCGCGAGGAGTAATGCGAGGTTCGATCCGCGCTTGCGCCAATGCGCTACGTCGTCTGGCGGCAGCTGCCACGAGGACTGTGGGGCAAGGGCGTCCCACTCTACTACACCATACAAACAGCAAAATGAAATACGGCGGCCGCTTGGTATCTTGAAAAGTACGTCTAGCTGTCGGTTCTTGAACAAACGATCGATGCGCTCACTTCGCAATTGGCCATGAACGATTCGAAATGGGCCATTGACATCGCAACGTGCTTCCACACGTTCAAGGACGGGAGTGACACCAAGAGCCTCAAACACGACTCGCTCAGCATGCGCGTCGAGCAGGCGTACACTTTTTTCCACGCCGCGAACCGCGACGTCGTGAAGAAGGCGTCGGACGCGCACAAGTTCCTCGTCGTGTTCAAGATGCTCCTGAAGTGGCAGAATCTTCATTACACGGTGCGGACCTCCACCGAGGAGGACATGCCGACCGCGTCCCGGGACCGCTGGTTGGACCTCGTCAAGGCCGGCCTTTACGACGCGAAGACGTTCGTGGAGAAGGACGCGAACACGGGCTTTTGCAACGCCGTTTTCAACGAGCCGGCGCCTGCGGACGACGTCGCGGCGCCAATGCCGCAGCGGTTCCACGACCGCGTCGCGATCTACTTGTTGAGGTCGAAGCATACGAAGGAGATCAAGTTTGACGTCGATGCGCTCTCTCGGGAGCGCGAGCCTCTCCTTCGGTTTCTCGTGTTTCTCACGAACCGCCAGGCCGTCCCGACGCAGCGGCTCCCAACGTGGGTCCTCACGTTCGACGCCGTCCTTGCGCACGACATATTCAAGCTCATCAAGATCAAGGGCCTCATCATTGACAAAGCGATGGTCGCGCAAGCCGTCGACGCGCTTTCCTTTTCCTTCCCGAAATATTTTCCGCGCAAGCTGACGGTCGCCCAGTGTGCGCGCTTCGCCGGATATTTGCCGTTCGACCGAGCAACTTCCGTCAAGCTCCGAGCGTTCGACGCCGCCGACGACGATGCCGACGCCGACGACGATGACGACGCCGACGACGACGATGATGATGACGGGCCGCCTCCCGCGAAGCGCCAAAACACGGGCTCGGCTCCAGCGCTGAACACGGCGGCTGTCGACGGTCATGGTCAGGGCCAGCACTTGCTTCAAAGCAGCGAACTCATGGAGCTCGTGCGCGCGGCGTTCGAAGCGCGCGACCAAGAGATTGCGAGCCACGAGCAAGAGCGTGGGCAATATCTCTCGACAATCGAGCGTCTTATGAGCCAACTCGCCGACTACGAAGAAGAAGAGACAAAGGAGTGAGCTCTCTCGCTTCTGCAACTTGTGTATATGAGTTGTCGGGCCTCGTGTAATGACTTCCTAATCAATACATGTCGTGTTATGCTTGTTTTCGTTCTCTCTGCAGTGTTGATGGTGGGATGGTAAGAACTTCGCCAAGCCGACGCAAAACGCCGCGCGCACAACGGATGCGACACCATCCACGTTGCGCATGTTGGTGACGACAACGTGTTGTGGTACAGCGTGACTTCGTCGACGATGAAGACCCAGTTCGAGATGGCCTCGGCGATAATGCGTCGAGATCCGAGCCACTGTACTTAAGCATGTTGGCGAACACCAGCCGCCAAGGGCAAACCAGAACTGGCAATCCTTGATCTTGAGCTACGCGTTGCACCGCGAGCGCTGCTTGCCTCGGCGCGTGTTGCCGACCGCGTCAGAGGCGTGCGAGACTCGTCGAGCGCAGACAGCTCCTCTTCCAACGCGATGGCGCTGTGGATGAGACAATCGAGTGAGTTGTCGCGCACCGCCACTTGCGTCGTCTGGCCTCTGTACATTTCATTTCCTCGTACTATCGTAAGACCATAATATACATCTCTGCGCTTTGGACGCCATTTCCTTGGGCTGGGTTGGTCTTCAGTGGGGCGTGACGCGGCTCTCTTGACTCACGAGAGGTGCATCCAAAGTGGTGCTTTGAAGCGCTGCCAGGATGTTGAACGTCCAGATAGACGCGATGAGTCAGCAGTAGCCTAGACAATCATTTTGCATTTAGCTTTATCGCTTTTGGCTACACCCGCCGCTCTTGCTGTCCTTTGCGTTGCCCGCCACCAGTTCCTTAGTCAACCCGTCCGCGCCGTCCGTCGTGGTCGCAGCTACACGAGGCGATGCGGCACTGGAGCTAGTAGATGTCCAGAGCCTTGCCGTGGCTGACGCGATTCGCCTCGTCCGTAGACCCGGGGCCCGACGCTAGCATCTTTTTACGCCGGCTACGTACACCGCGACGCCGTGCTGGCGATTGCCACGCATGGCATTACGCCAGACTGGGTCAGCCCGACGCTCTGGCGCGCAACCACAAGTCGGCTCTCACGTACCTAGCGGCGCTGGTCCATGGAATCCGGGCGGGTCGAGACGCCGGTCCATATATACCTCGTCGTTCCAGACTCCTGCCTCCGTCGTAGGCCCGGCATTGACGTGGTCGCGAAGAAAGACAACGATATTGTCGTGGGTATGGCCGCATCATTCACGACATATCCGAGACGAACTTCAACACGGCGTGCTTCCGGACGTCATATAGTGCAGTGTCACGAACGTCGAGCTGCGCATTCACGAGCGACGACTCTGCTCGGTGGATTTCGAGTCATGGGTATGGCCGGTGACATCAAGGCTGCGTTACGTGGCCGCCCGCGCAGACCATGCGCGTTGGTTTGCCAATTACCTGCTGTTCGTGCGCCGACATGACCGCTCCGTTCGGCTGGACGGGCTCGCCCATTTCCTACGCGGTCGTTGCCAATGGTATGTCGTGATCAACGCGTCGCCATATCACTCAACCCGGCCGTAACGTCGGACGGCGAGCGCTTCTTCGTCTACTTGACGATCACATCATGATCGAGATCGACCTGGTTGCCGCCGAGACGTGCTTGGGCCTCACGCTGCTACTCACGTTGGGCCTGCACGCCATCAATGACCAGCGCGTCACGGCGTGGTCGACGCACCTCCATGCTCTCGGTCTTGACTGGCACTCGGACCGCGGCGTCGTATCCATGCCGGCGGATAAGATTGCCAAGGCTCTTCCGCACTGCGGGGTGCCACCCGGACAATGCGGTTCGGCTTGCGACGTCTTCCTGGCGCGCTTGGACATGCGTCGTCGCGTCGGCCAGCCGCGCGCGCGTTCTTTCGGTCGCTGCACCTGGCTCCTGCACCATGCGTCCGGTTAAACGTTGGTTTATCCGAATTTTATTCGATGCTGTGGCCAATTCCCGTACCGCTCGTGCGATTGTGCTCGTGTCATGACTCTGGCGTGATACAAAGCCAACTCGCCGGCATCGCAGTCTTTTGCGACACCATGGCGGGCCTCGCGTGGAGATCGCGCCTCTGCCCTTGCCGCGTTCCGACGCCGTGAGGCGAGCGAGTTTGTTCTAGTCCCGGCTTGCCTTTGACGAGGGGACAAGCGTAAGCACTACGTCTCGCCCGTGGCGAACGGTCGAGGTGCTCATGCGCAACCGGTGCTCAAGACGCTCAAGCCGATCTTGGTCGAGCTCCCATCGATTGCGATCGATCGTTCAGCATGCGCTCAACCACACACATACATATGTATTGCTAAGCTTTGCAAAGGTCGCGCGCCCAGCACGGCCATGACAATTCTCCTGCCTGGACACGCACTCTTGACCTACTGCGTCGCCGACGCCATCCAGGAATCCAGGAAGTCCTGGGATCTACCCTGGTGTGTGATGACGCCTTTGACGCGGTCGGCAACACGCGCCGAGGCAAGCAGCGCTCGCGGTGCAACGCGTAGCTCAAGATCAAGGATTGCCAGTTCTGGTTTGCCCTTGGCGGCTGGTGTTCGCCAACATGCTTAAGTACAGTGGCTCGGATCTCGACGCATTATCGCCGAGGCCATCTCGAACTGGGTCTTCATCGTCGACGAAGTCACGCTGTACCACAACACGTTGTCGTCACCAACATGCGCAACGTGGATGGTGTCGCATCCGTTGTGCGCGCGGCGTTTTGCGTCGGCTTGGCGAAGTTCTTACCATCCCACCATCAACACTGCAGAGAGAACGAAAACAAGCATAACACGACATGTATTGATTAGGAAGTCATTACACGAGGCCCGACAACTCATATACACAAGTTGCAGAAGCGAGAGAGCTCACTCCTTTGTCTCTTCTTCTTCGTAGTCGGCGAGTTGGCTCATAAGACGCTCGATTGTCGAGAGATATTGCCCACGCTCTTGCTCGTGGCTCGCAATCTCTTGGTCGCGCGCTTCGAACGCCGCGCGCAAGAGCTCCATGACCGCCGCTGCGTCGAGGACCGGGAGCGCAGCCGGCGCAGTGAACGGGCGGTAGGCGCCAGGCAATCGCGGCGGAAAGAAGACGGGAAATACAAAATGCTGGAACGAGTCGGCAGCGCGCGTGACCATGTCGTCGGAAATGATGAGTTGTCTGCCTGTGATGAGCTTGACCAAGTCATACACGAGGTCCGCGTCAAACGTAAGAGCCCACTCTGGAAGCCGGCCCATCGTTTCGACGCGGCGGTTCGTCAACAGCACAAGGAAGCGAAGGTCGAGCTCCTTGTGTCGCGCCAACTCGTCGATGTCAAACGTACTTGTCGAGCCCGGCAGCGTTGATGGAAACAAAAAGATGGCAAGGCGGTCGTAAAAAGCCAGCGGTGCAGGCTTTACATCGTCGACGGGGTGCGGTGGCCGCCTCAAGATCGCGTTGCAAAAATCGCTGCCTGGGACCATCTCCATGTCCGGCACTGTCTCGTAAAGGCCTGCCTTGACCAAGTTCAGCCAACGGCACCGAGACGCGGCCGGCATCTCGTCGTCCGTCGCCGTCGCCACGTGGTTGTTAAGCGCTTGCCAGGTCAAGAGCATCTTGAAGAAGACCAAAAAGTTGTGCGTGGCCGGCGTGACCCAAACGCCTTCGCCGTGCATGCGCGCAATGGCGCTCGCCAGCGCGTTCGAGAGTACCTCGTAAAGGAAGACGCGAGGGGCGCCGGGCGTCACGTTGTCGAAGTTTTCAAAACACACTCTGAGGTCCATAACCAATTGCGAAGTGAGCGCATCGATCGTTTGTTCAAGAACCGACAGCTAGAGGTGCCACGTACTTTTCAAGAAACCAAGCGGCCGCCGTATTTCATTTTGCTGTTTGTATGGTGTAGTAGAGTGGAACGCCCTTGCCCCACAGTCCTCGTGGCAGCTGCCGCCAGACGACGTAGCGCATTGGCGCAAGCGCGGATCGAACCCCGCATTACCCCTCGCGCATCGCGTTTCGCTCTATGATGCGCCGCCATCGACGCTTGTGCTTGGAGCGATCAGCACAGCGTCATCGGCAGAGCTGCACACCGGCGGGCGGGCAAGTTCTTTCGCCTTGTGTGGTATGTCGTGCTCCTCATGAGTAGGGTCATGACGTGGCAGGCTGGAGGCCATCCCATCTGGTTTGTTTTGCAACGCACGCGCATCCACACAACCAAAATACAATCCGGTGCACCGCGTGGGCAGCTGACAAGCGATTCGCTTGTACACGGGGTGGTCGAGCTGGGTGGTAGAAGTAGCCTCCTTTGTTTGTCACGTTGAGCTAGAACCTTCAAACTGGACGGTCCATCTCGCTCAGGGATTCTTGCGACCGAGCGTCCGCGAAATGAGACGACGCCGCCACAGCCACGGTGCCCAAGCGCTTTGTCCCGACGCATTTCCATGGGACTCTTGTGCAGGTGGTCAATCTACTCTCGGGCTCTCGCTCGCAATGATTCCACCTCGAGCACCAAATTTCGCTATCGCATTTC